GCCCAGGAGAAAACTGGGTGGACTTCAGGTTAACCCTGGAGACAGAACCCACAGGCCCAGGTGTGAGGAAGAGGGGAGAGAATGAGCCAGGTTTCTGGCACAGGTGTTGAGTGGATGTGGAGGTAAGATTGGTTCCTGGGCCCATCCCATCCTCAGGATGGCATTGGGGCCCCTAATGGGATGAGGGGTCGGGGCACCTTTATGGGGGAAACACACCTAGTTGGTCCAGTGAGCTTTTCTGGATGGTGAGACAGATGGTGGCGTCCCCAGCTTCCAGGGCACTGGGCCCCTCTTCCCAGCACCAGTACACAGACTTGGCCACCTCTCCGGGGCTGAATCTCATGGTCACCCCCACTTTCAGCACTGGCAGACTCCTGAGGGGCAGGGTAGTAGGGAGGACAGAACACTGGCCTCTGGGAAGATAACAAGGCAGGGGGTGCCAGCACCAGTGAATCAGACACAGCACGGGAGGGCAGGATGTTGGGGAGTTGCTACCTGAGCAGGAGCACCTGGCCCCGGGCCCCCACGGCCAGGTCCATCAGTCCGTCCTGGGTGAGGTCCTGACCCCCGCTCAGCGCCTGCCCAAAATACTGCAGCCTGGGGGAGAGTTGGGAGCCGGCGATCCGCTGGCCAGAAGAGAAAAGTGTGAATCAGGCTGGAAGGTGGGGGAAGAAGTTGGAAATAAGTAACAAGGGGAATATGGAGGTAGGACCGTGGGAAAGGGAGAGAAGGGGTGAGTTGTTAACAGATGTCACCAATAAGAGCCTGAAAAGAGGAGGTAGGAGTCGGGAGATGATTGCTAAGAAACAGATATAGGAGTGGAGATTGGAAGGGTGTCCTGGTGACCCAAGTGTCATTCATTCAATCAGTCTCTAGTTCCAGTTCTGACTCCTCCACGTATGAACCACGAGGCCGTGGGCAAGGACTCAATCTTTCTGTGCTTCCATTTGCTCATCTTTCCAGCGACCCGCTGGCCAGAGAGATGGGAGAGGCGAAAGTCAAAGGGAGGCGATGTGAAAAGTTTGAGAAGAGAGATTTGGAAAAGAGATTGTGGTGAAAGAGGATCTGAAGAGAGAAATTGGAAAGGAGAGATGTGGGAATAGAAATTGAAAGCAAATAGACCGGGTGGCTCACGCTTGTAATCCCAGCACTTCGGGAGGCTGAGGCGAGCAGATCAGCCTGACCAACATGGTGAAACCCCATCTCTACTAAAAATACAAAAATTAGCCAGGTATGGTGGCACACACCTGTAATCTCAGCTACTCGGGAGGCTGAGGCAGGAGAATTGCTTGAACCCAGAAGGCAGAGGTTGCAGTGAGCCAAGATTACGCCACTGCACTCCAGCCTGGGCGACAGAGTGAGACTGTCTCAAAAAAAAAAAAAAAGAAAGCAAACAGGGTGAGGACCTTGGGATCCCCAAACAGAGAAGGAGGCTCTTTGGGTCCAACCCGTCATGAGAGTAAAGGTTGATGAGGAAGTAAGAGCATAATAATAGGCGTAGAATATATTTGTGTATTCATCACTGGTCAGGTCACTCATGAACCTTCAGTGAGTGCAGTGGTGATTGCCTTAGCACTCTCACTGTTATTTCTACAAGAAGACTAAGGAGTTGGTTTTATCATTTCTGCATTTTATAGAAAGAAACTAAGGCCATTTTATAGAAAGAAACTAAGGCTGACCAAGGCTGTCAGTCACCTGCCTAAGGCCACACAGCTCAGGATGGCTGGCCAGGCCAGGGATTTGAACTGACCTCTGACCTCAAAGCCTGCTCTCCTAACCATTAAGCTGCCCACACAGATGGAAGGCTTTCCAGAACAGAGGAGAGAAGAGAGATGACGTGTGCTTAGCTGATGAACCACTGAAACAAGGAAGGGAATGGTGACAGAGACAGGAGGCTGCGTTCAGTGAACTCAGGACATGGGAAAGAGCTGGGACTGGAAGAGGCTGAAGACAGGGGCCTCACCTGGCTGTGGGAGGGGCTGATGCTGGATTCTGAGGCTCCGTGAAACAGGTAGACAGCACCCCGGTTCTCCTGCTCTCCCGGGGCCCCAATGGCCACGTCCGACAGCTTGTCCCCATTCACGTCCCCCAACACTGTCAGGGCTGCCCCAAAGCGGCCCCAGGGGTGGCTCTGCTCCCCACAGAGAACAGCTTCACACTGCCACTGCACCCTCTGCTGAACACAAGCAGTGTCAGACCCCGACCCAGGCGACCCCTCCACCCACACCAGACCCCACTCAGCCCAGGTCCCATCAGCCACTCACCCCCCTGGGCAAGGGACACACGGACACCTGGCCCCCTCGGGTCTGCTC